CATAGAGATAATTGTAACAAAATAAAAATCCCAGAAATATACCCATAATGACACAGTTAAATCATCTTTGACAGAAAACCAAAAGTAATGGAGAAAAGAGTCTTAGTAAATGGAATCACATTAACTGCACTTGCACATGTGAAAAAAAGTGCAAGTAGACACAACTCTGCACTCTTCACAATTAAAACAAATCAGACTCCTACATGTAAAACCCCAAACTATTAAACTCTTAAAAGACCACAGGAGAAAAAATAACTCTGAGTTGTCACTGCGTTTTTTAGCTAGCATGTTTAAAGCATAATTTTCAAAAGAAAAAGTAGCAAGTTGGAATTCATTAAACTTTAACACTGTAATGCAAAAGACATTGTCAAGAAAACCAAAAGACACACCCAGGCTTGAAAGAAATACGCGCAGAAGATGGGGTAGGCAAGTATGAGCACAGATTCTTCCAATGAGGGCATAATTCACCTGGTTAGCAGAGCTCCTGCCTGGGGCCCCCGGAAACACTTCCGGGAAAGGTGCAGGTCTCACAGGAAGCGGGACTTCCGGGCGCATGGAAAATACTTCCGGGTGAGGTGAAAGTCTCCTGGGCCTACATGGAGCCCAAAACAGAGTTCGAGAATCCTACAGACCAGACACTGGCTTTTGGTGGACTATTCTGGGCAGAGGACATGCTGTCCTTGGAGGACTTGGGCCAAAATCCTGCTGGCGGCCCGGGATTCCTGCCAGCTGCGGCCAGCCAGGCGTGCTAATCTCAACAGAGCTCTCTAAGCCTTTCCAGATGCAGGCACCTCCATAATAGCGCTGTGCAGCTGGGTTCCAGCACCAGGCGCAGCCTCACTGTTTCTCCTTGCAGGACTCCCTCCGCACAGCAGAACCCATCGCAAAACTCTAAGGAAAAGCGGTGTCCTTCTGTGTGTGGAAGGTGCTGTCTTTAAATCCTGCCTCCTGAGGCTCCTGCAGTGGGGAAATTACCACCTGGAGTTCAGGACCTGGATGGCAGGAGGAGCAGAGCAAGAAGGGAGGGTTCCCACTCCATTCCCAATTCTGGTTGCCTGCTGCTTCTTTTTAACTGAGGGCTGCTGGGTGAAGTTGTAAGACAGATTGTACTGTGAATAGCAAATGCTGCCTGAAGAAAGCCTGTCTCTGTGCAGATGTTTAATTTTAATGGACAGTGACAAATACACCATGCGAATCTCTTAATCTTGGAATGGATGTTGATCAGCTCCCTCCTCCTGTGTGATGGAACCACCCATACACTCAGATCATTGTGATGTTTGTATGGCTGTAGGCTTTGGCAACATGTAAGTACTGTGTACAGCAAATTTTTATGAAAAGGGCATCAAATTTATTCAATTTTATTACTGAAATTTGAAACTTAAAATGTATAAATGAAAACGAAGAAAAGAATATACTCTTCATGGATTATAGTAGATGAATGTTACATTTATTATAAACATTTATGGCCTGCAAAAATGTAATGAGCAACTCCTACGACTACATTTTTTGAGTTGCTGTGTTCCTAACTGAGATACATTTCCATTTTTAACAGGTTCAACATTTAAAATCTTGTAATGTTCATTTGTTAGATAACATTAGAGTAAAATTCAGCTTTTCAGTATTCCTCAGAAAGTAAAAATCGCCATGATTTTCACTGACTATGAGATTGCTAAATTAAAAATATATGCATATGTGTTGTAGAACGAAATTTGATAGTTCTTATCAAAATAGGAAATTGAAAGGTAAAAACTGTAGTTTGTCTTATGCTGTGTATTCCATGTTTAACTTGAAGACCATATTGTAAGTCAGTTGACTTTTTGATATGGCTTTCATCTATAATCAAGTTTGCCAAAGGTTCTGACTTGTCTATTTATAATTATAAACAAAAATTATTAAACATGTTAATAATTAAATTTGAGTGTACTCTGATTATAAAAAAAACTGTCTTAGGTATATTTGTTGTATGTCTGTCTGTCTAATTGTAAACAAGTGTTTTACTGAGCTCAACAAAGTTTCATTTGTTTTGCCTCCATAGATTTTTGAAACATTTGTCAGTAATTTAAATTGGCTTTTAGGTAAATGTCATTAATATGAATGCTTTCACCCAGGTTGCCAATGGCTCAGTGATAATAAGATTGCTTTTATAAATGTAATATATATTGTTGTGTGTACAATAACTTTGAAATTTTTCAATGGTCAAAAAATAATGTGTTAAGTGTTATAATCAGATTCTCATATATCAAAATTTTGTTAAGATGATGAAATAAAAATCCATTAGTTTGTACAGACTGCTGGACAGGACTTCCTTTGCTGAATAAGGAAGCAGCTGACTGGAAATAATTCTCAGTCCTTGTTCATTAATGGATGCCACAGTAGTCTCCATAACCTTTTGGAAGATACCATGATAAATGTAAAATACATTGCTGTGTTAGATTTACATAGATCATTGTCAACAGTTTAAGTCTGTATGGGCAATAGAATAAAATTTTCTCATTACGAGTTGTATTTGGTATACAATTAAATTAAGCAACGAAAGTTTTTACATGATTATGACTATTCATTGTTTCTAGTTGCATTCTGTTCTAAATATACTCATGCTTTCCAGATGTACAGGTCTTCCAGAATGTATAACTGAGACTGTATATGGTGATAAAGATTTTCTTTCACATTTGGACATTTGCCTTCCTCTTGTGCTACAACTACTTATGATAGGAGGTCCTGTGCAACCAACAAGAGGTCACTTGTCAAATGATAGTTTTTTTTTTTTTTTTGTCTTTTTTGTTTTTATTGGTACCAGGGATCACGACTCCTGCTTGCAAGGCAGGCGCTTATACCGCAGAACTAAATCCCCAGCCCCTAAATGGTAATTTTTAAAAACAAAGTTTATGTGGTGTGCAATACACACACACACACACACACATCTATACATAGAGATGCTCAGTAGTCCAGACAATGTCATTCAACTACATTGCATTAAAGGAGAGAAAATTAGATAAAAGCTTTTTATATACTAGATACAGGCCTCTGGGGCCTCCAGCAGTGACCATGCCTCTGCTGGATTGAGCTGCCTCTCCAACACAGTGAGTCTGGCTCAGGGAGAAGGCACTGCCTACCCCTTCCTTTTATTTTTTATTAAGCTTCTCTGCTCTCCCTTTGGGCCTTACTTCTTCCTTGGCATCTTTCCTGTGTCCAGAGGACCAACCTACGTCCCTCCTTACTCTCTTTTTCACAATGCTACATTCTTTCTCTGCTGCTGCCCCTTCTGCCATCTTCCCAGAAGACTATGTGCTGTCATTGAAACAAACACAAGTGATCGGTCTCCTGTGTCACTAAATAAGAATCTATTTGAACAAGAAGCCAACTTATGTAATCTGGGTATAGTTTCAAACATTTCCGTAAGCTTTAAAATATTTACTTTGCCCTTTACTATTACTCAACTAGCTTTCGAGTACTTAAATGTAAAAGTTTTAGACAGTCTTAACAGCCACAGCAAGTCGTGCATTTCACCCATTTTAAAAATATGCAATAAAAATGATTAACTGTTTTGAAAATGCACTGCACTTCTCTATGACTCCCCCACTATTTCATCTTGGAGTTACAGGTATGAAAACAATGCTCCTAGCCACCACGCGACCCAGTGTACAAATGTACAAAATTTTCTACTCAAACTCTTTTCCAGAAGACTTTAATTAATTAAAAATGGGTTCTTGCTTTGTACCCAGGCTGGTTTTGAACTCAGGGTTATCCTCCAGGTTTAGCCTCCCAAGTGCCGGGATTGCAGCTCTGTGGGTCTTCCTGTGGGTGCCAGGACACAGCCCCGTGGCTGTCAGGATTTACTGTTCTTACCCTCTCCTCTCGCACCTGCCCTCTGCCAAGGCAGCTGGCTCTTTGTTAGCTGTAACTAAACTTAGCAGTGTCACTGCAGCATGGGAAGGTGCTGAGATATTAGTATGTGGGGATATAGGGCTGGTTTAGCCTTTAACATGCTAACGGTGTTGGTTTTCCCCTAGCAGATGTGTTCCTAGAGCCTTTTCCACCAGCCCCTGCTTCCCCAGTTCCCGTATCTACAGCCTCAATTATCTGCCTCTCTGCTCTAGCCCAGGCCCTGGCACACTGTTGTGCTCTCAATACTTAAGTTTGTTCTTGTTCCGGCAGGTAGAAAATGTTCACGTGGTGCCACTTACACATCCTTTTGCCTTCATCTCAAATGTCAGCTCTTTCCCAGAAGCAGGCCCTGACACCATGCTAAAGCCTGAAGAGTTCCTGTGTTTCAGGGGTCACAGATAGAGCTGATGTTACCCCTCAGGGGACACTGGCATTTGTCACACAGCAAGATCTTACTGGCACCTATTCGGTAGAGACCTAGGATGACACCCAACAGCTGACAATGAATGGGACATTCCCTAAACAATGTTTCCAACCACAAACTCCACAGCCCAGAAACCAGGGTCTTTGACAATATTCTCTTGTGTTCATTGGTGCCAGAATAATGGGCATTTGTTTGTTTGCTCGGTTTAGTACAAAAAAATGGAACTCAGTGCCTCACACTAGGTAACCTACATCATTAGGTTCTTTTTTTCCATTTTGATTTTGAGTCCAAGTCTCACAATGTCAAGTGTGAAATCCCTCTACTTCAGTTTTGCAGGGTGTTGAAATGAAAGGTATGAGGCACTGTGCCCACCTCTATCCCCAGCACCAAGAGACCGGCAGCTAGTCGGCAATCAGTAAATTGTCATATAATTTGGCCGCATCCTAGGAGTCCATAGCAGGATGAGGATGCAGAGCTGTAGCTAACAGATGAACTTCCAAAAAAATGACAAGTCAGGTTTCAAAATATAAAAATTTGTGTCATACAACCAGTAATAACTGCTCATTTAATGTACTCACAAAATTATTTCATATTTGAATGAATGGTTTTTCCATTTCTTACACTTGTACAAAATTTCATAAATTGAAATAAACTATCTTAAATGTGGCAGCCCTTGTCCTGGTTCCTCCCATTCTCCCTCACTCATTGCTTCCCTGCCTCACTCTGAAACGTACTTCAAGAGCCTGGCAGTTTGCAGTGCCGTGGCACAAGGCTGGTATCACACACAGCCTAAGTGTGATGAGCCACATGGCAAGTGCTTGTCTTCCCTGGTGCCTGCTTGGTTCCTACTCAGCACTGTAAATTCATCTGACAGCTGAAACAACCACTGGTCCAAAGATCACACAGAGTAAACATCTATACCTATAACAACAAAAGTGGACTCTCTTCTGCTTCCTCATAAGAGAAGCAAAAATCTGCATATTCACATGATTTACTCTTACAAACATATGAAACTTCCCATTTGGAGTTATAAAAGCAACCAGTAATCACAAAACACACCAAAAGCCTCAAATTGGATATTTTGCTTTTTAAAACTTATTGCTTTTGACAGTTGTGTTGGGCTCATTTATTGTGTTACCCTGATTACTTTCTTTGATGGATAGAAGGATTTTGGAGTCTAAAGAAAAGACAAAACTGTGAGGTATTCATACTTCACAGAGAACTCTGCAGTGCCTGCAGAGACCAGGCCAGTCTCAGCATAATGATCAGGACTATAGTAACAATGAATTTGACCATAAAGGCTTTGGCCCCAAGAGTTACTCTATCCAACAGCACTGATTCATTGCAAATACAGATATAAGTTATGCAGAAAAATGATCCAGGAATCGAAAGGATTGAACGTAGTGATGCATGGTCCGTGTCCTTTGCAGTCACCTGTCTTAATCTGTGTTTCAAAGTTTACTCTCGATGACACAGTCTTTGTTTCCTGCCAGATCTTGCTCTTGTAAAACTTGATATTGAGGATGAGTCTCCCAAACCTTGCTGCAGAAAGAGATGTAGAAGAATAGCATGAATAAGAGCAAAGCAGATAACTTCTGAAGTACAAGCAGTGCTTGTATTTATGAGCCAGCAAAACTGGCTCTCTGTGATCTGTGGAAGCCGTGATCACACAGAAAAAATACCTTTTTCCACAAATATATAGCTCAGTGGCAGTGTCTGCCTGGCAAGCGCAAGGGCCTGAGTTTGATTCCCCAAAAAATAAAAAATGGCTTTTGTTAGTATGAAAAGTGTAGCCCTTGGTATTATACCACAGCAATGTCTGATTTAATATGCAAATAAACTGAGTGTGGTGGGAAACCCGTGTAAACCCTGCTACTCTGAGGCTGAGGCAGGAGTATCACAAACTGAAGTCCAGTGTGGATAACTTGGTGACTTTATAAGACCTTGTCTGAAAATGGAGGGGGTGGATGGATATAGAACACTATCAATTCCCTGAGCTCAATCCCTCGTACAAAAAAAAAAAAAAATAGTGTCCTTTAGTATACTCTTATAATAGAATACATAAGTGAAAACATACGTGTTTGGTATCAAACTGAGTTACTCAGTTTTCAAATGTCACTAAGACATGCATAACTGAGCTTTGCACAACTGTGAATTCTGAGCTTTTAGAAAAGGTTATTAATTAGTGATTTACACCTTTTAAGATAACTATAGAGCAGAAGAGTGTCGCAGGCAGCCAGAGAGTACTGTTCACAGTATTGTAGTGGATTGTGGTGCCCAAAACCTTGCTGTGTCTTATGGTTGAGTCTCCAAAGCTTGGGACAGTAAACATTTAAAACACTAATATTAATAAACAACACTGATGGTCAAAGGATTCTCTTTTTAGCGAGAGCTTTGGGACTTCCTGCACCTGCATTCCTCTGTCTTTGGAGGTGCCCAGTGAAAGTGCTTGGAGAGTTCAAGGTGCTTTCCTGGTATTTGGGGTGCTGCCTGAGGACTGCTGGCTGAGGTGCACAGAAATCAAGCAGGGGCCCATCAGGGAAGAAGGTGGACAGAACTTCAACTCATGTCTGGTGTGTGATGTGGCTGGAATTTTGTGCTTTGTCTAATACTGACTGTTGCTACTGTGGAAAGGCAGAACTTGAGTGTTTTGATCAGGCATGGACAAGGAATGTCCTGTCATCCACTAGATTTTAAAAAACTTACAGACAAGGTATTTCTATGGACGTAGGACAGTTACCCATGTGGTACACAGCTCAAATCTTAAATGAGTCAGTGTGTACAACTGCCAAAAATTAAATATCATCAGGAAATTTTCATTATATGTTAAGATGGGATTATATTTTGCTTTTTGTACATTACATTTTTTGCAGTAGTTACATAGTAATAATAATGAGCCTCCATAAAGATAGTCAACGGTGCAAGACTAGAAATCAAATGACTCAAAGAATGCTGTGGTCCATCACTTTCCACCTATGTGGAGCATTTCCTTTTCATGTCCAGAGCAGTTAATGAAAAATATTTACAAGCATGTGTTCCTGAGGCTTGGTTCTTTATGAACTGTGTGGTTGGATGTGGTGTGTTGGACAGTGCTCAAGGCATGTCCTATGCATTGGCCCATGGAAGACAGAACAGGCAGACCTGCAAAGAGACATCCACAGAGGATGAGTGAGAGTTATAAAGAGGGGCCTAGTGGCATTGATTTTGAATATTAAAAAAAAGATTTTGTGTGTAGTCAATCTGAGCTGAATAAAGCAGGATAGTTTGCTTTCTAATGGGACAGATAATCAACTGCATAGAATAGATGCAATCTATGAGATTAAGCTGAAATTGAAAGATGCAATAAGTTTAAAAAGCCAAATCATCATTCAGAAGAGTAGAGTGAGCTGGCTCTGGGGCAGCATGGAGTGGAGGAGCCTGCAGAAGTGGGAGCCCTGGCCCTGCCTCACAGCCTCTGCACTTCCTGCCCCTTCAGCCAGGAATGAGCTTCCTTCAAATCTGCTCCGGGAAGCTCAAATAGCCTGCTTCCTGTTCTGTGTTTCTCATGGTGTAGATAGAGAAACAATTACAGGGACCTTGTTGCTTTGCTTATATGTTTTATGGTTTGTATTTGTTTGTTTTGTTTTCTTTATACTGGGGATTGAACTCCAGACCTCACGCCTGCCAGGCAATTGCCTATGAGGTTGAGATAAATCCGTGGCATCATGTTTTCTCTTTCTCAAATCAGGTTCGAATGAAATAGATACTCAATAAACAATAAAAGAAAGCACTAAAGAAAATGTTTTAAAAAACCAAAAATAATTTGTGCAATATACAGCACTGTAGTTCTTTTACTCAGACATTAGGAAAAGCTCCTTCTGTGCCAGTTTTGCCACAACTGGAGGGAAATACTCTCAAGGCATTGCAGGGAGGTTTGCATAACAATAAAGGTGTTTAAACAGCAAAACTTTGAATATTAAAAGGAGAGAACATGCCAGAGGTGGTGAACAGGCCTGTAATCTCAGACCTCTAGGATGAGGCAGGAGGATGACTGCAGGGTGAGGCAAGCCTGGGCTACAAAGGAAATTCAAGTCCAGCCTGAACTACATAGTAAAACCCTGGCTCAGAGAAAAAAATTTTAAAAACATAAAGCAAAGAAGGAGTATTTTAGGAGAAAAAGAACAACTAAGCTTAACTTCTTTTTATTTTTACTAGCAGAAGAACATGAAAAGGTTCTGTCACAAAGCTTTTCAAACTTACCTTAGTGTCTTCATCTTCACTCTGCTGTTGAAATAGTCTAGGTGGCCTTGGAGGAAACCAGAAAGAAGTGGACAGGAATATTAAACATGTCAGCAAAAACGTTCAGGAAAACTGCTTCCAAACAAGTATACTGTTTCTGTTGTCATTTGCACCCTCCCCTGGTAACTCCAGGTTGATTCTTCCCCAGAAACGCATTTGAGTCCACAGAAACATAAACCAGCTCTTTAGTGCTCAGTGTCTTGTTTTCATTACTGTTGGGTACATTCCCCCATGTAGCCTGCCTTGTTACAATGAAACTTTTAAATTGCCTGTATCTAATGCAATGGAAAATTTCAGTTTTCCTAAGTGGCTGCTGGAGGTCAGGTGTAACCCAAGTCTGTCCCAGGCTACCTGAGACAGAAGTCACCATGCTAAAGTTCATGCATTTGCCAAAGACCTTTCATACTGTAGTCAAATTTTTATATTATCAGTAATCTCTCCACTGAAAAAGAAGATAAACACTGTTTTGGTTGAAGAACGGAGCATATCTGAGGAACTTAACCCAATATCTAAATGATCATTATATGACTAAGCAAATTTTTAGTAATTAAGTGAAATCTTTCTCAGATTTGAAAATCATATTCAGCTTTCTGATTTTTGCCCAGACACTTGTAATAGATCAGCACGGAGTCCATATACTGTGTCTTACAAAAAGGTGATGCAGGTTCTTTTCCTGCAAGTAGAGAAAAACACATTGTACACACACACACACACACACACACACACACACACCTGGCAGAAAGGGGGCCCTCATCCTAGGATGGCTGTCTCTTGAAGACCTACACTGTAGTGTTAATACTATTTGGACAGTGTGCCCTCCAGTGTCTCATTTGCCTCTTGCTAAATCAGTGTTCTAACATATCCCACACAATTTAGGGCTGCCGTGTATCTCCCGTACAACATAAGTCATTCTCAATACGTTATAGGTACCAACACAGCCACCAAGAAATAGATGTTGCTACCAGGCACACTTGACTGATGAGGCCTTGGGGACAGAGAAAGTCACGTGAAACCAAAATGAACCACCACATGAAGTTACAGTATTTGACTGCAGGCACCTGGCTGCAGATCCCTTGCTCTATTCCCTCTAAGAACAACCTTGAAATGACTTACTTGTGATAATGATGACAACCACAATACCTAACAAAGCCACGGTAATAACAAGGACTCCCATATAGACTTCTTCCAGGAGAAGCACCTGGTGTGGAAACATCAATGAGTTTAAAAAGCAGCTACCTAGAGTTATAAACACGAAATATTTCCTTGAATGCATCAAACCCACGCAATTATTTCATTGGCCCTCAGCTATTTTGAGGCCAAAGCACAAATGACATTAAACCTAGACCACATGATCTGAGGATATAAACACAAAGAAATTAAGAATTTGAAATGCAAAGTGTTTTTTTGTGGATGGAAATGATTAATTTGCTCGACACAGTATTTACATTGATGTATACTTAGGTAAAGTAAAAACTATACACACACTAGCCTGTATATAATCTATATAAATTACATATGTTTTAAAACCAGTAGGTTATTTGTGTAAGCGTATCATTTTTCTTAAGAATTTGGTTCCTGAATGTCTCAATTTGGTTGGCTGTCATCTGCATGTGCTTACATATTGATTTGGTCTTCGATCCAGTGCTTGGTTTTTAAAATGTAATATACATTGGATATGCCTGGAATACTACCATAATCCCAACACTTGAATATAGGAAGATCAAAAGTTCAAACCTATGGTGACTCACTCCTTCCCATGTCACAAAGTGTAGGAAGTAACTACATGCTTGCTGGCAATATTTATTTGTGCCTAACTGACTAGATAATAATCCCTTACTAGCGAGGATTTACCTGTTACAACACATTCATCATGAATTGTAATAATGAGTGTTCTTTCTCACATATCTTCACATTCAATTCTCTTAAGGTAAAGACAAGAAGTTAGCCCACTGGGTCAAAATATGTGCTCCAATTTACTCAGTGCATCTGGGAGACATCTGCAGGCTGAGGGCTCAAAAGGCCCATGTTTTGTTATCTTTACCCATCCTGAACTTGCTCCTAAAGTGTTTTTATTTGCTGCTAAATGTATCTGTTCTGCAAGTAACTGAGGTGAAGAACACCACTGCCTTTTTTAACCGAAATTTAAATCTGCTCAATTAGCAACACAATAATCATTTAAAACATGGTAGTTGTGATATTAGCCAGTATATAAAATTTTGTCCCTCCCTATCAGCTCACCCAGGGCCCATGTGGTAAACGCAGTGTGTGTGTCTGTGTGTGGAGCACTGGGGATGGAATCCAGGGCCTTTGCATGTAGCATGTAGCTACATCTCCAGCCCACTTTTCTTCTTTTTTTCGACTTAGAGACAGGTCTTGCTAAACTAATCAGAATGAGCTTGAACTCACAATGCTCCTGCCTCAATCTCTCATAGTGCCAGCAGTTCCTGATATCACCCCTGAGGTGGTATTGGTATTGTCACCACCGACACAGCATAGGGCCACCTGGCCCTACACTAAAGAGTTCCACCCAGAAATTCCCGAATTCCTCTTTCAAGGACAAACTTTGTGCTAATTTGTCTTTAACTTATGTTACTTGCACCTACTGAAACAAAGATAGTGTCCCACTGAAATTCCCCCCAAAAAACAAAGATGTTACTAAAACATTTTCCAATTGTCTGTAAAGATAACTGCTTATGAGTATCATATGACTGGGGTACCTTAGCTTTTCTTCAAGCTCAATGTACAAGAAGTTTAGAATCGCAGTGTTTGAAGACCTTACTACCTTAATGGGCAATCAAGGGGGAAGTTTTATGTATACTGACCACAGAATTTCTACACAGAATAGTCACTGATTAAGAAAAAGATATTTTGCCCTGCTCTCATGTAAGAACTCTTTCCCTTACATTCTATTTTTGTTGGGACAGCCCCCACTCCATCCCATTGAGTCAAAAATGATGTATCTTTAATGATAATTTCAGGGCTCCTTGGTATTATGTTAATTTGATCTCTCTGAATTAATTCATCATTTCTTTCCAATTTTTGTCCATGGAAAGATCTGTGTAGTGTATCAGTGTGTCTGTGGTGTGTGTGTGGGTAGGGGGTGGGTTGGGTGCATACACGCGGGCTATTTCATTACTTATGAAGCACTTCTAACAAACTAGTCCTCCTAAAGGAACTTTTCAAACTCAAACATTCCACTTCATACTCTTTCTTTCTTTCTTTCTTTCTTTCTTTCTTTCTTTCTTTCTTTCTTTCTTTCTTTCTTCCTTCCTTCCTTCCTTCCTTTCTTTCTTTTAGGAGAAAAAATTCAGAAATAGGCTTTGCATTCAACTTGATTCCAAGAAGAATTACAAGTGTATGCTGCTAATAAAATAGGAAGGAATATGCTTACATTTCGATTATTCAGTCCACCTGCAGACTGTGTCACTGTGCCATTCCCATCTGCTCAAAAGAAGAAAAATTATTTAGAGCCACAAAAAATTTTGGATTTTCATTGCACTAAATATATTCACACTGTATTCTGGTGATGAGACATGGGATAATAATAATATGAGAGGATGCTCTAGAGATTGCTAGAGTCACACCGGGGTAATAATGTTATTAATTTATCTTATGAACTTGTGTTTCTTAATGTTTTTGTTATCAGCTCTTTGAAACTGGACACCTTTTTCCTTTATAGGAAAAATGCATGCATACAAGATTTCACCTGACATTTTGGGGAATCAGAAAAGTGTGTTCATAGAATCGGAGTAAGATGCCACTTAAATGTCATGCACTATTTTCACCATGTCTAAGAAGCTGTCAGCAAGTGCTCAGAGGCCACATTGACCTCCAAGGATCAGATCCACCGTATTGAGAATTGACATATATGCAATACAAATGGCATGTAAGTCTCAGGATATACGGTAAATTATCCAGATTACGATCCTGAAAATTTTTAGAAAGTATGTTAATCAGCCACAAGATCACACAGGTGTATTTTCTGACACATAGGGATTAGGATTTCATATGGTCGAAGAGATACCGATCTTAAAGTTTCAAACATGCATATTGTTCATGTATTTTTGAAATATCTATTCTGGAACAGATAACATATAAATATGTTCTTCTTAGGAATCTATAGGGAAGTTTTGAATTTTTTTTATTTTCAAGAGAATAAAAGCAAATGAACTGTAACAGGACAGTGTCACAAAGACTCCCCAAACACCTGGGAGTACAGGCATGTGACAGCATGCCCAGCTACAACTTCTTATCATAAAGTGAAAGGCAGCAGGAGGAGTAGGGAGGGTTACTTTCTAAGTATGTGATCAACTAATGAGGAACCTTCAACAACTGGACAACTGGCCTCCAGAGAGTACGGCAGCTGAACCAGGAGCTGTGCTCCAAAGCAGGTCTCCTGGCCTGGCAATCACAACACCCAGCCTGCCTTGGGAGAATGCAGTGAGAAGGTACAAGTCTCCAGATATACATGTCTGTCTGTAATGTGGCTGGGGGCCTTGTGACATTTTTCCAGACCCAACATTCTTCATTTCATCACAGCTTTCACCAACTGGGGGCTGACATGGGCATGATGAAGTCTTGGCCCAGGGGCCTCAGATTCTCAGCCAAGTGTCAGTGTTCACGGAAATCCCTGGAGCACAGCTGCTGCAAGGCCTGCCACACTCCAGCAAGTTCTATGGGGACCAGGTTTGAATAATATGGTATTGTAGAGAATTACTGCCCAGCCTTACTTTCTTCCTCCCCTATAAAATTGTGCTGTAGCTGATTCTTGTATTTCTATCATATTGTGTTTTGTTTTTATGCACAGAAGCAGTTAACAGGGATTCCACTTTCTGAATCAAATGTTGCCACTGTCTAATCCCTACTTGACTGCCCCAGCCTCTGTGACGCTCATTGCAGGTCCATTGCAGATTCACCAGTTACAAGGAATGTGTGGCAAAAGCCAGGCTCAGAAGGGAAGTGTACCCACAGGCTGACCACTACTCTGAACAAGGAGTCACAAGTCCACACAGCCCAATCAGTTGATCCATCTGGGTGAGGCAGAGGCTCAAGGACACCTAAGCCAGCTCTGGGTCAGAAAGAAGTTTAGCACACAGTGATCTCAAAACTTACCACTATGTGTAAGAAAGGGAGTTAGCTGGAAAAGACAACAGGGTTCAGGGACAGGTGACCTTCCCCCATCTGGGAAAGACAGGTGGAGCCTACATGTCCAAATGATGGGACCTGCCCAGTCTGGCCAAATGGACATTGTGTTTACAGAAGCCGCCTTTCAGTGAAGGCTATTTGATGCTGGTGTTGTCTGTTTTGTGAGCTCAGCCTGCTATAACAGGATATCTTACCAGGAGTCACTGATAAAAGAAATGTCTTTGTCTCAGTTGTAAAGGCTGGAAAGGCCAAGATACGCACACACGGTGAATGAGTGCCTCATGAGCATTTTCTTCATGCTAGGTGACAGCTTCTCTGCACTCCCGTGGGAAGGAAAGGGCAAACAAGCTCTCTCTGGTCTGTTATAAAGGAACATATCACCCTAGATGTTCCACATCTTAATACACTTACACTAGGGATTAGGAACCAATATATGATATTTAGGGGCAGCATATGGTCCATAGCAACACCTCAGAGTGTCCATTGAAATAAAATCTTGAGATCAGGGCAGCCTCCTGGACATATTTAGGGTCTCGGACTTGGAGATGAGGAGGACCCAAAGGGTCAAGCTCAGGAATAAGCATGGAGCCAAGATTATCAGATTTGATTCACCAAAAGAGAGCAATATGCATGTGATGTTCCCAAGTCATGCAACTCCCAATAATGCTACTTCTTTGAATTCTGGATGCTCTGCTTCATGGAAGTCTTTCATTTTTTTCCAGAATTTGTGTTCGCAGTTGAGTCAGTGCCTACCAAGATCTACCTACATACTCTAGGGTTCAGGAGAGAGAACACAGTTACCTGATGGCCGTGAATCCATGGTGGAGGTGACAGGCTGAGGTCTTGTTTCTTGCAGGGTTGTATGCTGGGTTCCTACCGCTTGGGTTGGAACAAGTAGAGAACTTTCTGAAGTGAAAACAATGGAAGAAGTATGATCCATTTGTAGAGGGAAATGTTCAGCCTCAACAAAAACAAAACATAAGCCTGGTATGGTGGCACATGTCAGAAATCCCAGAACTTGGAAGGCTGAGGAAGGAGAATTTCTGTGAATTGGAGGCAAGCCTGGACTACAGTGAGTTTAGTACCAGCATTCAAGACTAATTTGCAGTACACAGTGAAACCCTGTCTTAAAAGGCCAAGTCAATAAATAAATTTATTTTATAAGTGTCCTCCAGACACTGAATTGTTATCTAGTTTTTCATTATCCTATAGGAAAGATGATCTATATAACATTGTAGAGTTTTTTTATATACAAATTCTTCCATTCTCTACTCCATAAACTTCTGTGCTTCGTCTAAATGTGCAAAGTCTACAACAGTGCATCTCTTGTGGGAAACCAGGTCACAGCTTTTATTTTATTCCTAGAAGTGCATTTTACCTTCAGGGAATAGGACCCGGGAGTTCCTATTAACCTGTCCTCGCCCACTGGTAATGTCTCTCCCTGGATTACCTCAGTATATGCAAGTTCTGCCTTGTTCACCACTCACATGAGGGAAGAAGCCCTAGTGACCAACTCAGAACACACGCACTGTCTGCTGCCTTGATGTCTCCACAAGGGGATGATACTGCACAATGTCTCCACTTAGGTAAAGATTTGCAACCCCCAAAGCGGGCTTCCTGGTAGACCTTGGTCCAGCTCTGACTCAGCATCCATTTCTCATCAAAAAGATACCACTGTGGATTGTCGAACAGACCTGTGTGTTACTTTCCTTTCCGGAAATCTTAGCTGTTTTCTATTCCTGTAGCTGGCCATGTCTACACAGTCGGTCACTTGTGAGGTCTTCACATGATGTCCGTCTCCGAGAATATCTTAGCATTTTATGTCAAATTCATGGCAGCCGCAGGATAAGAATTCCTCAATGGGCCTCCCTTAACTGCTCCTCTCCAGGCTTTGTGTCCCTCCCCAGTCTTTGCATTCCACTATCACCACTTTTCATATTGTGAACTGTTGTCCCATTTTCGCTAACACTCAAAACTGTAAAAAGATGCCACTGTCTTTAGGAAATAAAAACAAGTCCATGCAAGAGAGTCAGATGGTCAGGCTTTACCAGATTTAGCTTTGCACAGAATTGTGCCTGACCTTAACTTCTTCCTCTGTGGTACCCTACTCTCTAATATAAAAGTACTTATATTGATCCCATGACATTTTTGTGTACATGCTGCCAAAGCAAGCACTCCATGCCTGCTTTAGGCAGCTAGCATGAGCCCAGGCCAAGGAAAATGTAAACATAAGTGTCCCACAGTAGATGGGCTGTGGTGCTCACCTCCTATCTGTACTATACTGTTCGATTCTCAAACTCATTAGGAAACCATCAGGATAAGAATAAGACAGGTATGATGGATAGTGCCTGCAATCCTAGCATTTGGGATGCTTAGGCAGGAGGATTCCCACATGTTCAAGACCAGCCTCGGCTAAATACTGAGTGTAAGGCTAGACTGACCTGCATAGTCACATCCTGCCCAAGCACAAAACAAAAAACTGCATCAACTAAGAGCACCTCCCAGATCGTATACATACATATTTATAGCTATCAATCTTTATATTCTGGCTCTTCAAATGCTTTCACTTGTGAGTTTGAGGTGAGGACACACACCTTGTGAAGTCCATGTGTTGATCCCAATTCAGAATCCTCATACTCAATGGTAATTGTTTCTCTCTCTCTCTCTCTCTCTCTCTCTCTCTCTCTCTCTCTCTCTGTCTCTCTCTATGCTTTGTTGTTTCTTTTGTAACTGGGAATCAAACACATCTTTGCACTTGCCAGGCATGAGTGTATGCCACTGGGCTCAATCCCTGACCCAGGTACTTCTTTCTGGGTACAATGATCTGTACGGTCTACAGCCTCCCACTAGAAAGCCTCTGGGCTCCCACAAACACCTTTACCTGTTTCGTTGCTCTGCGTCTGCTCTGTAGTTTGAGGAGAAGTGGAGACACTGGCTGATGTGGGAACACTTGTGGTCCCAGCTGGAGTTAGAAATCAAACACAAAAGTGGAGATTAGTGCAGCAACAATAAACCAGAGTCTCCTGCAGGAATTGCAGCTGAGCCTGCTAATGAAAGACGGTCTCTAGGCAGGGATGTCTCTATGCATCTTGGTCTTCACCAATGGCCAGCTAGAAGCTCTGATGTGGGAGGGTTTTACAAAAATGCTGGGAGTGGAAAGGATCAGCTGCATTGAAAAATTAGTATTTGGGAAATGAAAACATGTAGCTCATTTGCATGGAAGTCCCTTTTACAACTCCAGTCACAGGAAGGTGTCCAGAGTCACACACTTCCCGGTGTGGGTCCAAATCACACTTTGTCTATTTTGTTACTGTGCATTTCTGCAGGTACTAAAGGAGCAGAAGTAGAGACAAGGGCTGCCATTGAAACAGTTGTGGTGCTGACTGCAGTTAGAAATCAGGGTGGAAGCAGAGATTAGTGGAGCACCAAGAAACCAGAGCCTCCTGCTACATCTCTAGCTGAGCAGTGATGACAGGCTGTCTCTAGGCTGGCCTTCCTCTCCAGGATTTAGTCTTTAACAATGGATAGCTACTTGTTTTGATAGAAGAGGGCTTTGGAAACATGCTGAGTTTGGAGAGGAGAGTCTTTCCTGGAAACTAAATATCTGGGAAATGAAAACACATATCTCATATTTCAACTAAGGTACTTGTCTAAAGACCACTCCGAGGAAAGGTTTCTAGAGTTTTTGAATTTGTCCTCTCAGTTGCAAGCATGTTTACCATTCTCAGCCCCAGAGACAATACTTCAGATAAAGGTATCTGACCTAAAGACCCACTGCTTCCCATTAACCTATGGTAGATCACATGCAGAGGCAGCAGGAAAGATTTGGACATTCGGTTAGAGGTGAGGCAAGGTCTTGGAAGGCTTCTTTCCATTAAAGATTCACAAAGTGGGTATCCGTTCGCCAAAATGCTTGCAATATTTGCGTGCACATAATGAGGTATCAGGGAAATGAGGTTGAAGCCTCGGTATGTGATTCACTCATGTTGCACATATACTATAGACACATAACAAAAACGTAAGTTCATATAATATTTCACTTTCAAAAATGTACGTGAATCAATTTCATAGTGCGAACTTATCTACTGATTTGGTCATACTACTGCTCAAAACTTTCAGATGTGAGAGTACGGGAGATTTTGGATTTTTGGATGAGACACTTCATATGCATTTTAGAAATTGGCAGCATCAGAAATGTGAAAGAGGCCACAAATCCAGCTGAAATTTGGGGAGCTTCACAGAGAATAGAAACTAAAATTTATCCTGAACAGAGAGTGCGGAATAAAAACAGTCAGGAATGGAATGGATCAAGCATGTACAAACAGTCTCTGAAAAAAGCGCATCTGTTCTGAGGAGCCTGTAGTCTGAACTTGTCTGACTAGAACAAACAAAAAATGAAACAGAAATTAAAAAATTAGGAGTCCTAAAACAAAAAACAGTGTCCCCAAATGTGTGGACTTAATGAACTTCTTATGAGCCACTAACAAACAGTTGTTGGAATGGAAAAGCTTGAAAATACCATCAACTCAATATATTTTGTTTGGTTTTTGACACAGAATTTCTCTGTATAGTTCAGGCTGGCCTCAAACTCACAGTGGTTCTCTTGCCTCAGTCTCCTGAGGGTTGGGAATATAGGTTTGTGCCACCACCCCAGTTAACAAGGGAAATTTTTAATTTTAGAATGTCAATTTATTTGGTATAGAATATATTTTAAAACCTGGAGTTAGCACAGGGGAAGTAGTAGAACTCCATGCCTATACAACACACAATATGCACATTTTCATGAAATATTCTTCTAAGACATGGACTCAAAAAAGGTGCAATGGTTTTAGCAAATTTCACTTGTTAAATAAAACCCTTCACAATACGTCACTTTGGCACAGTGAATGCCATTTCATGGACCCAAATGCCATTCTGAGGAGCTATTCTGCAAGACATTTGGTGATTCCAGCTCATGGCCTGGTATCAAAGAAAGTCTAGGACTTTATCTGCACAAACACGTGTTATTCTCCCTCTACAACCTAATGTTCACTGGCAAACAGCACTATGGGCCCTCCTCTTTCCTATTAAAGAAAGAGTAATTTACCCACACAACAGTTCATGAGTGGAAGGATCGGAGGGAAGAGAGCTTACCTGGCAAAACACTGAGCTGCACCGTTTTTTTGCTACGACTGAACCATCTCAGAAACTCAGTGTGGCAACAGTACAGGCCACTGTCACCCTCGGTCACATTCTGAATGGTGAGGGACACATCTCCTTGACTAATCTTCCCATGGAGCCAATAGCGGCTGTCCTTCCGATAGGTCACTCGGTGTCCATCCGTCTTGATGAGTGTGCGGGAGCATCTAGAAGAGGAACAGGGTCCTCGGTCCCAGCACATGGGTAGGGTTCTCCTGTTTCTCACTGAGTAGCTGCAGGGTAGAGTGACCGTCTCACCCTCCATGGTATCCACTTGGTTAGCAAATACAGCACCTGAAACAAAGAGGAGAAATGGACAATGAGAACTCAGTCTCTTCCTCGTGTTTCTCACTTTTGAGTACAATTGTTCTCTTTTCTCTGTGCATTTTGTAATCATGATGAATTTATAGCATGATTCTTCTTTGGATAGCATGCATTGAACCCAGCCTCATGAATGCAAAGGAAGGACTCTGCTACTGAGCTGTTTGCCCAGAAGGTGTTACTTTGCCTGGCACTGACCGCAAAATTTACATATTTCTGCCTGACTCTGCTTAATAATTGGGAATTCAAGTGACTTCCACCTTGTTCAGTAGCAGCTTATACCTTTGAATTCTAATGTAAACACTTTCCTTTTAGTGTATTCTTCATCAGCATGACTGTGTAATAGATATGTTTGTGGATAAGCAGTTTATTGTACTGCATGATGCTCATGCTGCTCCTCATTTGTTACCATTATACAGGGCATGGAAAATATGTCTATTGCAAGATTATTGTATATTTAGGTTTCCTAAAGGATAGATTTCTAACAGAGAAATTATCAAGAAGGAATATACAAATGTGTGGCACCATATCCAGGTCACAGGGATTTTAAACATACTATTATATACAGCTAAAACATGTAGAAATATGATCAACTGTCAGATAGGACTGGGCCTTCAAGGAAGTCAGTGAAAAGGATGAAAATCCATCAAGACTGTGGATGGAGGTGCACCACAAGATTAAATTCACAAGGGCTAGTTCTACATACTTCCCTAAGGGACGCAAGGAGGCTTGGGATTATTGGCATCACTCTTTTGAGATTTCTCATGATCTCATTAGGGGTGGGCCCTCCTCTATAACGCACTAAGACTGAGACTAAATTCACTAAGAATAATTTTAAGACCACTAAGTCTAAAGACTGACTCTAGATTATTGATCACGGTTAATGATTTTACTCTTGTACTGTTCCTACAATTAGAACAATATTACCTAAGTGTCTATCCTCACAATCTTACTAGTTGATCATAACTTGAACCCATGTTGCACCCACCTCATGATTTGGCTCCATAACTCTTCCACGGAGAGGTGGGCTCCTTGGCAATACATTTGGGACCTCTCCTGTCTCTCAGGAGCTATTTCCATTCCCCATTCTCACCCCTATTCTCCATTACTTTTCTCTAGTAAACTTTACTACTCTTAACCACTGCTGTTCTTTAGAATTCATTCTTTCACTTTGAGGAAAATGAACTAAATGTATTTGACCTCTAGCATTTCCCCTAGATCATCAACAACAGCAATGGGCATATAGTGGAAATGCCCTGTTCACCTGCAGGGTCCAGCTCCTCTCCTTCAGATACAATCTGTGTTGGTTCAAGGACATTTAAAAAAACAACACAAAAAATACAACCAAGCCTAGCTGGGCACACTGGAGCACACCAGTAATCACAGAACTCTGGGAGGCTGGGACAGGAAGTGTCAGGGTTCATGTTGGTGGATCCTAGGGCTCATGCATTTGCATTATGCATTTGTCATTGGTTCATTATTGAGCCCTTGGATTGGAGGTGTGAGTGCTACACTGGCCTAGGCCTGAAGCCAGGATGTAATGTAATGGCAGGAAGGTGTGTCTTGCTCTCTTGCAGGTTCCCTGCTTGCAGGTTGCAGCCACCACAAACCATGGCCCAGCCATGTCATCCTGTCATGGAGCCAACTGAGTGTGGACTGAAACCTCCAAAAGCTTTAAGAAATAAACCTTTCCTTTCCCAACTTTGCACATCAGCTATTTTTGTCTCAGCGAAGAATAAAACATAACTAAGATAGGAGGACTGCAAGTTTAAACCTAACATGGGCAACTTAGTGAGACAATATGTCAAAATAAAAATTAAAAAGAGCCTGAAATATATTTCAGTGTGAAGACCATTTGTTCAACCATCAGCAAAAGAGCAAGGAAGAAAGAGCCAAAGAAAGAAAAAAAAACAAAAGAAAAAAAGGAATGGAAAGAAAGCTATATTTAACTGAAATGATTCAACATGGTTCAAAAATACCAAGAAGCACAAAAGAATTTCATAAAATGCTAACTCTCCTCTTGCACACAGTGTCTGTGTGTACATCCACTCAACTCATTTCTGTTCCAATATAAATGACAGCATATGTTCTTCCTCTCACCTGCCTACCTTGGTTATCAATCTGGGAGTTCGTAATAGGTAAATAATTGCTTTGCAGTAAGATTTAATCCTGGTTCTCTGCTCACTGGAAAGCACAGAACCATCCCAGAGCCCAGGATCATCTGTCTTACTCCTGTACCACAGCCCCGCAGTACAGCCCGCTGCTCACTTACCTGTCTGGAGAAGAAGGAGACCTAAGGCCACCACCTGAGGATGCAGAATCATGGTGACACGAAGATGTTTACACTGCACAGGTCTTAATTCTCAGGATGCAGCTTCTCCTTTCACTCTGTCAATCACTGGACCCTGCTCTTTGGGAGAAAAGCAGACAAGGGACTCAGTTGCATTAGCTCCAAATGGTGGACAGGGAAAGCTGTCCTGCAATGCAATCTTCCCTTTCCCAACTCCTTCCCCATCCGCAGCCTCCAGTCTCACTGGGCTCTGACACAGGAGCAAATAAATGGTCACACAGAAGAGCAACCAGCGGGGGTGATCCTGAGCATGGCCTAGGAGCAGAATTCCAGAGCAAAGGCCACAGTACAAGGGCAGAGAGCTGGTGGCAGTGGTTGGAGCCACACATCAGCCAGCTCCATGCCAACTTCATCGAAAGTAAGAGGAACTGAGAAGAACACAAAGCACTCTGTTAGCTCCTCATGCTCCCAGAATCAGTGGCTGAGTCTGCGTTCACTGAGGGATGACAAGACAACACCTCAAGAATCCCTGGGTTCAGATCCAAGCCCTGACATCCACAGAGCTGGGAGACTCTCAGTGTGACAGAGCCCTCCATGCCTTGCTCTCTTCACTGATAAAATAGAGCTAAATACACTGGCTCTGTCTCTTGCAAAGAACTGGACTGATGAGAAAAAGAGGTGGCAAAGTGGCATACACATTTGAAAAGGGACCAAAGGTCCTGACAGCATTAGCCCATAGCATCAGCTCGCATTGTCTGATGTGCTGAGCAGACTCTGTGATAAGGACCCACTTGCATCTAAATGCTGGAGGCAGCTGCTCTCAGCTCAGCCACGGAGAAGGAAGCTGAGACTCAGCAACACATGAGTGCTCCCACTCCAGGCTGATTTTCCCCCTTGCTCTTTCTTACTTACTAAGCCACACAGACATAAGTAAGCTGCCCAGTACTTCACTGACTCTCTGGTTGGTGTCAAGATCTAGGAATTTCCTCCCAAGTAGTAAAGGTCTCTCCACTTCCGGCTTTGCAGCTATGGGAGGCTTCAAGGAGGCAGGGATGGGCCTGGCACATTGAGGCAGCATCCCACATTCTGTGCGAACCCCCACTGCACCAGCATCAGGACTTGGTTGAATCAGTGCCTTTGCATGGAGATACAACCCCAGGCATGTTTGCTTTTTAATTTTGGGACAAGTTCTTGCGAATTACTAGTCACCCAGGAAGTGCTCACACTTGCAGCCCTCTTGTCTCAGCCTCCAACAGTGCTGGGATTACAGCTGTGTACCACCCTGCCTGGCTTTTTAAAAATCTTTTGTTAAATGAAATGAGTTGACAACATGTAGTCTCTGTCATTCTAACCTTTTAAACTTTCTCTCCAGCCTGTCCCAGGTCCACACGTGAGTTGGGGGCCACAAATTCACAATGACTAATTTCCCACACTTCCCAGAGGATAAAATGGAACCTTGGTATATCAGTGCCTGCCACTGACATTTCCTGTTGACTCTTCTTACTGTGTGATCATCTACACCCTCTTGAGCTACCCCAGGATTATACTCCAGAACCAGATCTTTCCCTGCACATGATCCTCTACAGCAGCTTAATCTTAGCCTTCTGCTGAATTGCAATCATTTGCTAGCCCCACCTGTCCCTGAAGGCATCTAATAAACAGTGGGGTGAGGAGGACCCATTGGAGACACTGACTCCCCAGTCATTGATGTATTGCTAAGCTTGTCTGCTTTTTATTTTTTCTTGCTGTACCCCTAAGGCAATCAGGACTCTCAGAAGTGCTCCTGATGATAGAGGACTTTAGTGTCTTACAGTAGCCTTGATTGAAAGGAGCTTTGCTTAAGGCCTCCTTCTTGTTTTTCTTACTCTTGGTATGCTTCGGTTTGGTATTTTTTAAAACAAGTCCTCACTGAGGGATCCAGGCTGGTCTTCAACTTACTGTCCTCCTGCCTCAGCCTCCCAGATGCTAGGATTACAGGTGTGTCCCACCACACTCTGCTTTGTTTCACCATCTGAAACTCCAACACTCTGATCCCTCGGCCCTCCCACAGGTGTCTGGCAGCCTATTGGTTCCAATTCTACTCTCCACAAAGGAGTGTAAGCCAGGACTTTGATCTTCCATTGCAGAGTCCCAAAGTCAAATTTGCTCCAACCCTTGCACTAGAGATCTTGTCACACACGCAGTAAGTATGTTGCTGTGTGCTTGCTGCCCTGTTTATGTCTGCCTTTGTATGCTTGAGAGCAACACTACTGATCCCATCTCAGCCAAATAGCGGAGCACAAATGATCCAGTGCTCACACGCAATGAAATCATGCCTTTTTCATCTGAAAAGCAAAATGTTTTATAAGTTTTAGCAAGGCAAGGTGGTGCATGGCTGTAAACTCAGCACTCAGGAGCCTGAGGCAGGAGGATCACTACACTGAACTGCATTGTAAAACCCTGCCTCAAAAAGAGAAAACCTTGTATTATACTCTTAAGACTGGACCAAGGTCCACTAAGTCAATAAAAAGAACTTTTGAAACATTTAACTCAGTTCTTCCAGTTATTACTAAACTACTGAGCTTAAGAAAACATAATGCAATATGTGGAGCACGTGAAGAATCCATGATTGTGCAGCTAGGCAGAGACAGATAAGTGACTGAAGTCAGGCTGAATGAGAGAAAAGGGAAATACACAATTAGGACACCGCGCTGCCGCATAACCCGTGTACACACAGCTCTCTCAGGACAAGAAGACACCCAGCTCCTCACCCTGACAGCTCTCCCCTTGGCCTCACAGAGCCTCTGTGGATTCGCCTCCCAGGTTTCTCTGCTACTCTCCCTCCTGCCCATCTCCCACAGCTGCTGGGGCTTCCTTCCTGTCCACCTGGGCCTTGAGCCTCTGCTCCAGCTGTGCTCTGTCTCTCTCCTCACTCCTGTCCTCCCCGTGCTCACTCTTTCCCTCCTCCTTCCAGTCCCTGCTTACAGGTGGCCTCCTGGGAGGGAGGGAGTCCTGGGTCCAGCCTTAGTGTAAAGTACTCAAGCAGCCCGGCTGCACCATCACCCTGCCTCAGTTCTCTAATAGCACTGCGTCCCTTTCTGCCCATGACCCATCCCTGTGTGAGAGACACTGGAGTTCCCATCTCTCCTCCCTCCTGTGCAGTGCTGTGCGATGGAATTTGGATCATTCTGTGTGGGCACTGTAGAGCACAGCAGCCATGAGCCACAGGGACTACGGAACCCTTGAATTGTGACAATCACAGCTGAGCAGATTTTACTTTTATTTTTAATTTTCTTTTGTTGTTGTTTTTTGAGTTAGCCCTCACTGAGCAGTCAGTGTGGCCTTGAACTTTCAGGGATTCTCTGGTCTCAGCATACCAAAGGCGGGGATTATAGGTGAGGGCCACCACACCCAGTTGAGGAGAGTTTTATGTTTTTGTTGTGTTGTGGCTTTTGAGACAAGGTTTCATGATGCCACCTACTCAGTGATCCTCCCACCTCAGCGCTAGTGCTGGCATTATAGACGTGAGCCATGATGCCAGGCTGACTTTATAATGTTTTGCATTTAATTGGATTTTAGTTAAAATATATTTTGCTACAAATGTCTACTCTGTTAGCACCCAGCTTAACAATCAACTTGCCAGGAGTGATGGCTCACGCCTTTAATCCCAGTGCTGAGGAGGCAGAGCAGAAGGATGGTCACAATATCAAGGCCAGCCTGAATTACAGAGGAAGAGCCTGAAAGAAAAGTAGTTTAGGCCATAAACTCTTTTAAGCAAATGTAAGAACCACCAAAACTTGGGAGGAGATGATTCATTGAGACAAAGTGGGAAAGATCAGAGTAGGGAAGGAAGTCCCTTTCAAAGATGATCCATGAAGTTAACCACTGAAGAAATGTGGGTACAGGGGTGAAAGGTGTCTGAAGAGGAGGAAATGGGGACCAACAGTCAAGGTGAAGATGTGAAACCAAAGCCTGCAGTGGTAAAAATGGCACAGCCCCGCAGAATTGCGTTTCCTGGCCAGGCCCCTCTCCCTCAGCCTCCACTGTGGCTCATACAAAGGCGGCGATGAGGACGCCTCAGTTTAAAGTACTCTGAGTGGACACCACCGAGAGGGGTCCAGCTCAACAAGGTGACAGGCAGTGCTTGCCTACCAGCCCTGCATCTCCAGTGCTGACTGCACAGCAGTGTCTCTGTAAAGCAGGAGTGAGGTGGAGAGACCTGTAAATGAGTTAAGTCAGTGTTCTGTCCTGTAACCACCACTTCCTGCAAAAGGGACAGGAGTGCAGCAAGATAGTGTCCCTCGCCACCAGGTGCTACCAGTCACTAAGGAGAAGCAGGACAATCTTCTAGGAGATGAGCATATTTCAAATTCAGAGATTTGGGCCAGGCATGGTAGCACACACCTGTAATCCCAGCACAAGGCAGGCTGCGCAGGAGGATTCTGGGAGATTGAGACCATCCTGGGCTTCACAGTGAGTCCATGGCCTGCCTAAACCACATAGCGAAACTGTCTCAAAAAGATCTTAAAAAAACAGGAACAAACTCAAGGATTTCTCTAAATCTCTCCCACACCCTAAAGGTATACCGTGGCTTTCCAGTCACCTCAGAATCCAAAGGCCCCTGTGGCCCCTTCCCAGATTGGACACAGCCTTCCACTCCCCACTCAAAACACCACTGAGGCACTCATACACCTTCCAGGTCCTTAGAAGCTAACGCAGACTTCAAAAGTCAGCATCAACACGAGGCTCCCCTCTCAGAGAACCCTGTACTCAATCCTATGGATTATGTATTCACAAATATGTTTATGAGTCACAAAATTCCCAGAATGAAACTGTGAAGATGGCTGTGTTTCCATGTTGTTATATAAAACCTTCACACACTGGTCTAAACAGGGCTGAATCCAAAGGCACCATCCAGTTTTCTATGGGTTATTTTCTTCCTATTTCTCTTGCTGTACTCTTTTAAGACACAGCTTAAATAACTTAGCTATGTGAGTCTATTATTCCAATTAAATGAGAATCCATTTCCCAATAGACCCAACAAACCATCAATGTTCACTACCCCTCATTGGTACTGCTCAACCATCACTGTGCTCACTGACCCTCAGCTCATAAGGGGAACATGGCAGACAGCGATGCTCTGGTTCCCTCCTGGCACAAGTCCAGGAGGATTGGACTTACCAGTTGGCTGGAGATGCTTCCTCAGCTTCTTGCTGGCAGCCTTCGCTTCTCCTGGTCTGCTTG